CTGCGACTCACATGCAGATGACCTGGTTTGTAAATCAGCCCTTAGTTTTCCCAATGCAGCTTTTCTAGTTTTTCTCTGTTTAATTAAGCATGGCTGCTTAGAATCACAGCCTTGTGTGTTTAAGTTTTACAGAATGCAGTAATGTAAAAGATTAATGCTTACATTCATTTGTTCATGTGTTTTTCTGAGATCCTCCAATTCTTTATCATTTGCTTCAGACAATCATTGACAACCATGTGCTTGGCTTTAAAGCCGTTTAATATTAAGACTGGAACTAAATAAAACAAAAATATCTTTGAAATATTAGTTGAAATGTATAAGCCACAACCCCCCAGTCAGCGTGAAAAAAGCGCTAACAGGAACAATTACTTTATTTTTCCAAAAACTACAAATGCACACATCCCAAAACACTTAATCATTTGCTATCTTTGTGGGGACCTTCAATTGACTTCCATTTATACTGCAGAAATTTCTATGACCTAGACCTGACCTTAACCATTAAACACATACCTAAACCTAATCCCCACCCCCAAGAAGACAACATTTCCTCAAGCGGAAAAGTCATTGGTTAACACAAGTAAATATAAGTCCCCACAATCTAGCATATTCCTGTGAAATCATCACCACAGGGTAACAGAAACATGGCCACATACATTACCACATAAATCAGTAGAGGAGCTGTAAAGGCATTATCATTCATCATGTCCAAGCCTGAAATACAAAACCATATACTGAAAAATATTATCTTCTGTTGGTCCTTTTTTCTGTCCAAGTTCTTTTTATGTTTTTGCATGAATGTAGGTTATAATAGCCCCTCCAGCTTCATTGGTCTCAGTTGACACAATTTTTTTTGACGAAAAGAGTTTATACATTTTTAAATAGAAAGTAGACTTTACACCTAATCATAAACTAAAGTTATTGTTCAAAATAAACTCAATGTAAAATTAAAAAATCTTACTTCCAGTTCTCTTGTAACATCTTTGTTTTATCAGTAGAGTCACCAGCAGTAAAACCAGAGGACTGATGCAGGAAAGAGACACGATTAAGTAGAGAGGAAACTGGGAATCTGAATGAGGATTGGTGGTAGGAACAGAGGAGGGGAGGTTTAGTGAGGTTGGGGATGGTTTCTCTGAGGAACAAACAAGAAATAAAAATTACTGCATGCTCTGAAACCCAGACAGTGGAAGAAAACTGTTGATCCTTCTGACCTTTAACAGAGATCCAGCTGGATGGAGACTCTCCATGACCCCTGATGTTACACCTGTAGAGGCCTTCATCAGAGCTGGTCACATGGTGGAGGGTCATGTGACCTTTGGGCTCAGTCCTGATGAGGGAGCCATCTTTATAGAAAGCAGCTGGGAGGTTGGAGGGAGTGGTCTTTGTTAGACAGCTCAGAGTGACGTCATCTCCCTCCATCACAGGGAGGACAGGACTCTGCAGGATCACTGATCCACCTCAAAACAGAGACAAACTACAGCATTTCATCCATTTCCACACAGCTTCATCAACACTAACTCCACAGTCTGATCTTACCAGTGACAGTGAGCTGGATGCTGCTGCTGGCTGCTCCCTCTCTGGACGAACACCAGTAAACTCCACTGTCTGATGGGAACAGGTAGCTGATGATACAGGTAGAACCAGCTGGTTTCCCCCATCCATCTTTACACTCAGACTGTCCTCTGGTTCTGTTCCTCCATACAGTCCATCCAGCAGAGCTGTTGTTCTCCTCACAGCTCAGAGACACAGAGTTTCCTTCAAAGAACTGAGATCTGCTGGGACTCACAGTCAGAGCAGCTGCTGGAGGAGTGAAAAAAAAAACTTTCAAAATAACCCAAACTGTTAAACTGTATTTTGTTTTATATAATAAAATACACAATTACCAACCTTGTTCTGTTGTAGAACAGTGAAGAAAGGCCAGCCCTGAGGACAAAATTATTTGTATTAAATTCAATCGTCTACCCTTTGACTAAATGCTCACTGAGACTCCATAGACTGTAGAAATATCTCAAACTCAGCATCTTCTGGTAGATCTGATTTCTTGATCAATCTAGATAATAAAACAGACATTTTTCTCTACCCTGTGAAAAATCTTTAAATCATTTTTACCTGATTTCAATAAAATCATTTTGTCACAAATTTAATTCTATCAACCATACCAACAGATAGTTCACCCTAGAAAAAAACTGCTAAAAACAGCTTTCCTACTTACAGAGCAGACATGGTAGAGATGTTCCCCTCATCGTTCCTCTCAGTCATCTGACTGTTTCTGCTGTTGAGGAAGTGATTTTGAATTGAACCGCCTTCTTCCTGTGCATTGAGAAGGGGGCTGCCTCTAAATGAGGACACTTTAACCACACTATTCATAGAATACAATTACCTTAAAAATGATTTAATTTAAACATACTTATATTCCTATAAGTCTTCCATCTTCTGCGTTAGCCGCTGGTTCTGGATCGTTGAGACCAACCTCTGCACCAGTTTTTTCAGCAACAAAGACTGTGAGCATGAAGGGTTTTTTTTTATAAAAAGGATTCTATAAACTTAGTAGCATCAGACCAGAATGATAAAACTTTATAGATAGTGGATGGTAGATGTTGGTGGAAGAGAGTCAGATGGCGCCATCTAAAGGGAGCAGCTGTGCAGAACATAGTAATAATGTGTGTTACCATCCATTTCCTAAAACAAATAACTATTTAAAAATAATATGTTAAACAAAGAAAGCTGAAATGATAAATGCACATTAAAAACAATGAAAAAAATACAATAAAACATTAAAAATAGAAACAAATAAGTCCTCAGTGACAGATACTGATGCATATACAGAGGATGCATTTGACTGTTGAACAAGTTGAATTATAATTATAATCTTGACTAATCTCTCACTATCACATATTTTCTTCATATTGTAACCCTTACTTCTATTAGTTGTTACAGAGATTATGAAGAACTTCCCAATCCAAAATGAAAAGTGGATGGCTCCTGATACAGTGCGATAAGATACTCTTATACCATGTAGAATTTTAATTGGTCTACATGTATCTATATGGGATGGCTCCTGTAGTTTTTATGAACAAGTCCTTGAGCCACAAACCTTTAGCGAGACAGTCCCCAAGCCAGACCCCCTGATCAGAATCAGATTCCAAAAGTGTTCTTTTTTAAATGCCAGATCCTCTTAGTATTCTTTCTCCTCAGTCATACCCTCCAAGGCCCCTCAATGGGTGCTCTTTGTCTCAAAGGCCCCTTCATTGATGCTTCTCATCTCCAAGGCCCCTCAGTGGGCAGCCATTCTCATCTGCGGCACCTCTTTGTGGGTCTTAAGCTGCACCGACTCTATGTGGGTTCCTGTGTCGCAATCGGTGGTCCCCAAGGCTCCAGTGCTGCAGTCAGCACTCAAGGTTCCTGCTGCTGAGAAGCCGCCCTCCAAGGTTCCTTCTCCCAAGACGCCGGCCTCCAAAGTTCCTGCTGCCAAGAAGGGAGCCTCCAAGGTTTTAGCTGCTGAGACGGGGGCCTCCAGGTTTTCCTGCTTCGGAGACAGCAGCCTCCAGGGTTCCCGCTTCGGAGATCACAGACTCCAAGGTTCCTGCTGCCGAGATGCCAAGCTTTTTTTGTTTGTTTGTTTCTTTCCCTTCTTCCTGGGCCTCCATCCTTTCTTGGTTATGCTTTTTTTATATTATTCTGTTTGTGTCAAGATTTATATCATATTTTGTTATTTCTTTCAGTTGTCTCTTTTCCACATTTTTGGTATTATCTATTTATTTGTGTGTTTTTAGTTGTAGTCATTTGTTTTATTTCCCTTTAGCTTATTTTAAGTTCTTTTCTAGTTACAGTTAGATCCTGTTGTTATTCCTGGTTGTTCTTTTCTGCCCCATAGGGTCAATTTCCTTTTCCCTTTGCTCATTTCTTGTTGCTTCTGCCCACACCTCCTCCCTATCAGCCTATTAGCCCATTAATATTTTCAATCTCCCATATACACACCTCCTGTGCAGTTCCTCTTTGCCAGATCATCTTCATTTTTATGCATTTTTCTAACAAGTGTCTGGGTTTGGGTTGCTAAGTTCCCTTCGTGTTCTGTGTGGATTTAAGCTTTTTTTATTTATTCTAAAAATCCTAGCTCATTTTGGACAAACCGCAAATTTTTGATAAATATCTTTAACACTGTCACCTTTTTTCATCAGGGCAATGTTTGATTCAAAATGGCCGACTTCCTATGGGGTTTAGACCATTAGTTCAAGATAGGGTGGCCATTTCTGTAGCACCAAAAAGGATGACATTGTGTGGAATATCAATAAATAACTAAGGTGTACAGAAGAATCGGGTAAAGTCACATTTATAGTACAATTCTTAGTTGTTTAAAGATGATGCTGGTGTAGCTGAATAGAACAAAATATTAAAGAGATGTAAAAAAAAAAATAGTTCCCAGCATTTGTATTTATTTAATACATTGTGGTGTTTAAAAAGTGACTATCTATCTATCTATCTATCTATCTATCTATCTATCTATCTATCTATCTATCTATCTATCTATCTATCTATCTATCTATCTATCTATCTATCTATCTATCTATCTATCTATCTATCTATCTATCTATCTATCTATCTATCTATCTACACTCTAAAGAATAAAGCATGGGGGTAGTAAATTCAGCTAAAATAAATGCACAATTTCAATATAAACATTTAAGTTTGCAGCTTTTATTTGTTAAACTAAGTAACCAGCTTGATTAACCTAAATAAACCAACTTGAAAAATAAGAAAATATCCAGACTCATTTTCCTGTGTAATTTGAATGCATTAAAGCGCACCAGCTCAATTTGTCTCAAATTTTAAGTTGGTTCAGCTCAAAAAATCTTTTTGAAACTTTTTTTGAAACGGGCGTGGCTACTCAAGCAGCAGACGATACTCAACGTGCACCCGGTTGGGAAAGTCGACGCACTCGTGTCTGCTTGTTTGTACAGAGCTACTATCTGTGTTGGAATTTTATTTTTTGCGCTTTGGAACAGCTGACAAGTCATCTTTGGGGATCTTAATCATTGCTGGAGGACCATTAACCTACAACGTGGCTGCCCATGCCACTTTGGTAAGTAAGCCTTCCCGCCGCCATTACAGTCGCTCAATAGCAAGCCATTGATTTTAGATTGATTCATTTTGAGTGGTTTATTGTTAAGCACTGTTTAGAACATTTTCACTGAATCCCGTTCACAATGAACTGGTGTTCTAAAATGTGTAAATATGAAACTCCCACTAAGACTGAGCTTTTGAAACACTACAGGCTACGACATGTGCATTGTGCGCAAATTCTGCCTTGTATTTATTGGGAATGCTATTGCTCTTTCAAAACATGGGCCAGTCTTAAATCACACATGACAAGAAGTCATGTGTGATATCAGCTGTCTGATATATTCCCTTTAGCTGCATACACCATTGCAGGGAAGCGTATGGTCACTCTGAGGCCCCGTCCACACGAAGTCAAAACGAACACGAAACGCTAATATTTTCCAGAACGTTTGTCGTAAAGACGGAGACGTAAAATAAATATGATCGTCCACACGAATGCATGAAAACGCTGCAAAATGTATGCCAGGCCTGTAAGTAGCGCTGTGGTGCCAAAGCAAAAATAGGCGACGAAATGTTGGGCATGCGCACTAATATTTATACATGGTTGCCCTGCGGGTCCATTTTCGTGGTTCAGTCAAATTCAGGTGCTGAACTATGTGGTCGATATTGCTCTGTTCTTCCTGGAGATATTCCAGAAGAAGAAGATTCTGTTGTAAGCCCGACAGCAGGGTGAGTAGCATGAGCAGCAACCATTCAACACAGTACGGTGCCATTGTTGTTCTGATACTGGTCGCGCATGCGTGTTTAGAGGCGACGCTATGACGCATGCGTTTAAAAAAAAATGCGGTTAGAGCTTAAAGATGGAAACGCGAAAACGGCATTTCAAAATCTTCCCACTCTGAAGGCTGAATAAAAAAATGATCGTTTACAGACCCCCGAAACGCCGGCTTCGTATGGATGAGAGGCTGGTTTGGTGAAAAATTTGTGCGTTTAGGCCAGAGTTTGGCTTCGTGTGGACGGGGCCTGAAGCGATTCATTTACTTGCCATAGATGGATTTTTTTTCACGTTGTCTTTGTGTTATCTAGTGATAGCAAAAGATGGCAGATTTCACCGCAAACAAGCAATCCCAAGGTACAAACTCACATTGTGCTCAATGGCATACACTGGACTGCTAAATTGACACATTTTTACAAGTTGATACAATGCCGCTGATAAGAAAGTATTTACTGTTTTATTCTCTTTATGCTATACATTTTCAGAAAGTATTTCCCCTGCTGAAAGAATACTGCATGCAATAAATGAGGAAATGGATTTTACTGATTCTGATGTTCCAGGTATGGTATTTGTAAAGAGGTTCTGCTAACATGCCTCCAAAAATGTGAAATGTATGCCAGCAAAACTTTTGGATAAAGATGTTGCAATATTCACATATTGTGTCCCATATTAGAGTCACTTAATGTTTTTGTTTTTTTCTTAACAGATGCTCAAACATCTCATCTAAGAAAACCTGCTGTACTTCATGTTATTGTTCAAGACCATATAATTGACAAGCTTGAACTGCCTTATGGAGTACCAGAGACAGTAGATGAGCTACTGTCTATTGTACAACAGAAATATAGATTTGAAGCAGGGAAGTTTATCTTACATTACAAGGATGTTGATTTTGGAGGAGAATTTTTTTCTCTTGCATCAACCAAAGATCTTAAAGATAAAGACACAATTAAGGTTGTCCATATTGTTGATCTCTCCTCATTCCAATTTGTTGTAACTGACCTCGATAAATCTGACGCGGGTGCAGCCAGCAGCTCAGACAGAGGTTCATCCAGCAGTTCTGCTCCGGCTGCCAGTACTGCTTCATCTGAATCAGGTGATACAATGATCTTGTCATCACCTGATCATGGAAATTTGCGCTCAAAATCTTGGCCCTCCAAATTTCCAATACCACGTTTCCACAATGAGAAGGAGCTTGTCCTAGCAGCTGGTAATGAAGCTTTCAATAAAGATGGATGCCCACTCAGCTCCACTGCCATTCTACCAGACATCCTTGAGAGTTTAGCCGAAAGCATCTTTGAGTATGTTGCCTATCCTACAAGTGCACAATTTGCTGATGTAGCAGAAGCACTGATCCAAAAACACCCTTGCCTGAAAGAACCAGGGTCCTACAATGGATGTTACGGATGGCAACAAAGACTGAAATTTAAAATGGGCAATTATAGATCAAAACTTAGGGGTCTTGGGTGCCCTGAGCTAGAGGTTAACTCTCTCCAAAAAAAGCGAGCCAATGAGAAGATGCCAGCAAAAAACATGATGAAAGCTCGAAAGGGTGAGGCAAACTACCTGCTACCTCATCCACTAGGAGAAACCAAAGAAAACCTTGAGCAACAAAGACTGGAACTTCTAGGTGAAGTAAAGAAGAGAGACAATTCCCAGATCATCAGTGAGAAAATGGACAGGACCTTTTCCTCTCGGAGACAAGAAATTGTCACCTTGGCTCCATCTGTCAGTGACTTGAAGGAACTGCTCTATTTCTTCCTGAGCAGGTTAATATTTTAGTATTTTGTTGTATTTAGAATAGGTAGTTTGGCAGGAACATGACTTCTAATATCTGTTGTACCATCTTGCTCTATTTTGTGTCACACAGATCAAGGAAGAATATAAAAGAATAACCACTGCCAATCTGGAGTCAACATTTATGGCAAATCTGGACCATTGTATACCAAGGTTGATGCCATTGGTGATGTCAAGAGGAGGGGCTGCCAAACATAAGATCCAGAAAATCATGGAACTTCTGAAGGTACCTGATATGCTATTTACAATAGGAGATAATAAAAACTAACTGTTGTAAAAAAAAATATATAAAAAACACCTAATTAACCTTTTTTCTTTGAATCCTCCATCAGATCACCACAGTTGAAATTCGCCGAGAGGTTGCCATTCGCTGCTTAGTCGTCTACCTTGGGGAAGATGAGGACAGTCTTTTTGAATATGTGGTAGGTGAAAGTGGATCCCTTTGCAACACCTTGAAGTTGAAGTGAAATGGAACTTTCCTTTCATACTTACTTTGTGAATCTCTAACCAGTATCTGTCTCTCCCTACCCTGTCCTTGTTTGTTTTTGCTGCTGCTTGTTCAGTGTTTAGTAAACTAAAGGGACAAACTAACTTTTTTTCTTTGCACATGTCCTGAATAGAAATATAGTAAAAACTTGTTTTGCTTTTTATTTTCTCAAGAGAACTTCTACATTTGCTCAGAAAAGTATTACGGCCACTTAAAATAAAAAAATTGAGAGTACTTTTGTCTTTTTATTCATTCCAGAAAAATGTCAAAAATTATCCCTTAGATGTTGTGTTCCAGTGGCCCTAATACTCTTCCATATGTTTGCCTTTCACTATGTTAAAACAAGAAACAAGTAAAAACCAGAATATGTTTTTCAGTGCTGTGGCTACAGGCACCATCAACAGGACATTGTCTGTACATATAGTTTTAGTCTTAGAAATTCTGACTCACAGTCATTAGATACCAGGACATTACAGGACATTTTATGTTTTTTATATATATAGTATTGAGTGTGCCAGCTTAATGATATACTGATACTGATATTTGTTTCTGATATTCTTGCTTTCAGGATTCTGAGAGCCAAATTGGAGATTTTGAGAGTCGGGTGGTGAAGATTCTAGTCACCAAAGGTACTACAGCATCTGATCCAGCCAGCACAACCATCATCATAGAGGGCACAGAGGTCCTGCAAGGGTTGGATGTGCCAAGGCCCTGTGCTTTGCTGATGGGCCTCATTTATGCCCTCAGCTACCCACGGGAGCTGAGGTACACTTGCGAGGTATTTCAGAAGGTGTTCCTTAAATTAGACAGTCAGAAATGCAGCCCAAAAGTCACATCTCTAAAGCAAAAGCTGCTAGGAAACCCCTTTGAGCCTCATAGCTGAACATAAAAAATGGGAACCTCATTTGTGCAGTGATGGACTTGCTGTTCAAGTGGCTTTTCCTAATTTATGCAGTGTAATGTCTTTCAACCCACATCTGGTTGCTGTTCATGTCATTCAGGTCTTTGACGTTGATAGTCATGTTTGAGAGCTGGAATATTGGTGAGTGTATTGTTTTCAGCTGACCCAGAATGTTAAATGTTTTTGGCGGTGATATATTTGCCTTTATGGTTATCCATACAAATAGTTCATTCATTTTGCCACATTCATTTTGCCAATAATGCAGAAATGTCCTACCTCAGTAAGAGTCACAGTCGTTTAAAGTCACTGACTCAACTTGGTTACAGCTGTTTAAATACTTTAACACTACACTGTAAACACATACTACACACATTACATACTGTGACACACTACACGACACTAACACACTATAAAGACACTACACACACAGTAAAGAACTACACTGTAACACATAAAAACAAAATATTGACCAAAATTGAAACAGAAAGATCATTAAAGATGGAAATGAAAGTTAAACAGCTATGAAATAAGAGAATTATAAATGGCAAGTTTTCAATGGTGCTGTTATTAAAATATTTGCACTTAATTTGTACAAAATGTTCATAAAATAAACAGTTTTTATTGTGAAATATGGTTCCTGTTCATTATTTCCCTCAACCTGATAAAAATTAGTTGCATATAATTAATATGTTTACTTTTAGCATGGACTTTTTTTAGTTGAAAATGTTTATGTAAACATTTACAACAACTTAAATTGGAATGATGAGATAACAAAATTTTAAGGAATACTCATTAATTAATTAAGTAAGCACTACTTGATTTCTCTTGAATATATATATAAAAACATGGTCATTGTACTTAATTTTTTGTTGTACCTGAAACATATATCAGATACAACCAATGTGACAATTCAATAAGGAATTTTTCATCATTCTGCTTCATTCTCTCTCTGTTCTCCTATTCTGCAGAAGCTGTTAGTTCAATCTCTAACCTTCTGCTCTCTCTGCTTTTCCTCAGAGTAGCTTTGCCTCGTCTGTTCCTGTTTGGCTGTGACGTCATCCTGGAAAGAAACATCAGCTGTGCTGCTTCCATTAACACCCTTGTTTGTAGATGTTGGAGATCGGCCTGTCTTCAGGTGTGGTCCTGTTTCTCTGACTGTGACTAACTGGATGTGCTCTCTTCATCCTCTGGCATGGGAGCTGCCTTGGAGCTCGTCTGCCTGGCTGTGTGTTTCCTGGACGGGGCCGCCTTTTACAGCTGCTTTTTGTATCTCTGCTTCTGTCTCCTTGAACCCCAGTCGGCCTCCGCAGATGGCCGCTCGCACTGAGCCTGGTTCTGCTGGAGGTTTCTTCCTTTTAAAAGGGAGTTTTTCCTCTCCACTGTCGCTACAAGCATGCTTAGTGTGAGGGATTGTATTTGAGTCAATGAGTCGATGCAATCAACTGGTTTTCCTTAGATAGAAACTTTGTATCAATTTGACTGTATGATCTGGTTGAACTGTAAAGTGCCTTGAGATGACATGTGTTGTGAATTTGGCGCTATATAAATAAACTGAATTGAATTGAATTGAATAATTTAAACAAAAAAATAAATAGATTCAACTTGAGATAGTTTTGTATTTATGTGGCTATTTAAGTTGGTGTTGTTATGCTGGACTAGTAGCGATTACTCAATTAACAATGAAGTTAGGACAACTTAAAAAGATCCATGCAAAAAGTAAACATATCTTTTTGAGTAAACCCATTACATTATTTGTTAGAGTGTATCTATCTCTCTTTCTCTTTCTCTCTCTCTCTCTCTCTCTATATATATATATATATATATATATATATATATATATATATATATATATATATATATATATATATATATATATATATATATATATATACATATATATATATACACATACATACAAACTTCAGTCATGGAACTGTGCTTACAGCTCCTTATTTCATGTAAACTAATAACTTGTGTTCATGATACTTGTTGATGGCATTAAAATTATTTCTAATCGCATTAAATTAGAGTCACTCATTCCTGTACAAACCCTGTGAATGTTTAATTTAATATGACAATTAAAAAAAATCCCACCATCATCCAGCAGATGTTCAGTTTCTGCCCAAATATTTTCTTTCTGTTGTGGATTTTTGTAACAGGGATAACTAGGATCATCCATAGTTTGTATGAACTCTGTTTGTTCTCTGCTTCCAAACTCATCATCTCTTCATCCATTCCTGCAATAAAAATTTTCTTTTAAAGTTGTGAGATGCGCTCTAGAATCTCACAACCTCTTCCTGGTCTGTTGAAGCACCAATAGTCTGCATCCAATTATTTAATTAATTGCTCTTAGTTTTTTGGGAATATATACGAACTATGCTCTAATTTCTAGTAACCGACCTGTTTTTACTATAATTTAATTTGACAAACCGGGTCTTCTCTATATTCTTTTTCCTGTTTGGTGCGATTGCAATTGCGGGTCTTGATCTTAAATGACCGGAGTAAAAAAATAGCTCAGTTCCGTATTTTGACGGTGAAGGACGGAGAGGATGTAC